CGAAGCCCAACTGGCTTTACATAATTCGCTAAGTATGTCTGTTGGTGTGTTGGTGCTTATGTGTGTGTGTCGGTGTATTTGACCGGAAATTCGTGAGTGAGTGGTAAGTGCAGTGATAGGGACCCATTAGCGGCAATAGGATAAGCAGATGAGAATTTTGTTCATTTCTTGCTTTTAGATTACCATAGCTACCCAGCAAGGTTTGTGGCTTAATGAAGGATCCTCTTTATTTGATATCATTTGCAACAAAATCGACCGACCGCCAGTGACTTTAAATTCTCAATCCTACTTCATATAATTCGCTAAGTGTGTCTGTTGGTGTGTTGGTGTGTTTGTGTGTGTGGGTGCGTGTCGGTGTGTGTGTCTGACCGGAAATTCATAACTCCTGTCCCCGTGGACCTAGAGCGTTCAAACTTGGTAGGAGTACAGGGGGCAGCATGGGAACTCTTATGGCAGGTGGCAGGACCGTACTCCGCCCACAGGGAACTGGGTGTGCGCGATGGAAATTTTAGGTCGCAAATTCATAACTCCTGTTCCAGTGGACCCGAAGCGTTCGAAATTATTAAGAGTACAGGAAGCAGCATAGGAACACCGATGGTGATAACAATTGAAAGGAGTTGATAACGAGTCTCGAAAGGCGAGAGCCACAGGAACCGTTACTTACTTCATCTTAACGGCAGAGCTTTGCACTTCGGAAAACTGTTAGAGACTGATAGGAACTGATAGGAGGCGAGAGCCAGTAAGTCTACAACGTCTTCATGCTAACAGCTGAGCATTCCAGTAGATAGTGCAGAATGTGATGGGACCGAAGTTAACACGTTGCGTACCGGCGCCCTCTGCGATTTTCCTACGTGCGTGGCCATGCGATTTTTTTTCGGCTCGCTGCGTGCATCACAATGCGATGCACTTGGCCACACAAAACGGTTTTTTTTCTAACATTGTGAATTCTCAACTATTGGAATCCGATTTTTTACTATAATGTTTTCGCATATGGAGAACAACATATCTGTCTAACTCTCTCTGATTTAGGAGATATTTTGTTGGACAACTGTGTGTGCTAAACTTAAATCTAATACCACCTACTTAGTGCTAAATCTTGCGATAACAACTCCAACTGGCCGAAGTTTCTTGACTTCATAGTGTTCCGATCAGGCGAATGGTGCGCTTCTTTCCACAATCGACTTTGTGTCCCCTCGTCTCATTCCAGGAGAGCAACTTTAAGTCCAATGAAGTTCTGTTATCGATTCTGGTAGTATTCCAGATGGAAGCTTTGGAGAACTCATTTGTGCAACTACTTACTGATAGCGATGAAGAAGCAGACAATGAAGATGTTTCGGGAGCTAATGATGGTTTGCTCGCCGATGCCGTTGAATCAAGTGATGTTGAAGATAGTGAAGGGAAGTCTGACGCTGGTTGGTCCTCAACCATAGTTCAACCAAGTGTAGTACCTTTTACCGAACATAGTGGAATCCAAAACGACGGTGTCTATGCATTCAGCAATCCAATGAGTTTCTACAAGTTATTCACGACAGACGAATTGGTGAAACTGGTGAATGAAGAATCGAACCGTTATGGATCCACCAAGTATTCGACTTGGTCTGTGCTCGAAGAGCAGGAGTTCTACAACTTCTTAGTCATTTGTTTTCATATGAATACCGAGAAGAGGTCTAGACTCAAAGAATACTGGTCTAAAAGAATTATATGCAGCGGATCTTTCGCAGCCAGACTGGTGACAAGAACCGCTTCATTGAGATTTTGAACTCTCTCCACTTCGTTGACAACGATACCTCGGACAAGAGCAATCGACTCTACAAGGTGCAGCCTGCCATTGATTTGATGAACAAAGCGTTTGGTGATGAGTTCACAAGAGTGCGAAAGAAATGCTACAATTAAACTTGTTAGTCACGTTAGATTCGTGATTAAAATTATAATGTATAGACGCCCCATATTTTTCAGCTGTTTGAGTCCCAAGCGAATATGTTGTTCAGCATGTTCGAAAACATATGTTTGAGAATTTTGACTAGTGTTGCTTCATAAAGAAAGTAGAATTTTGAGTGTGAATTTCATGCATCACCATGTGATGCACGTGGGCTCGAGGGCAAGTATATGCGTGCATCACCATGTGATGCACTCGGTACGCAATGTGTTAATTAGAGATAAGGATAGATAATAACAAGTGAGCAGGCGTTGCAATCCCCTTCGTGTCAACAGTGGAACCATTTCAAAGACGGCAATTTAGGATGTGACGTTGTCGTAGGTACTCTGTGACAGGAGCTGATAGCAACTGATGAGGGGCCTTAGGGAGCAAAAGGGTATTTATGATCAAACACTGACTATTTAATGCTGTAAATGCTGTAATAGCGATATATCGAAGACATTTCTAAGCAACGAAATGAGTATTTTGTTCATTCCTAGCTATTAAACTACGAACGCTACGCAGTAGGCTTTGTTACACAATGAAGTACCACGATTCCTTTTTGTTTTGTAAGATATCATTTGTGACTAAACTCATCTGACCGCTAATGATTTGGGATCTGATTTGGGATTCCCAATAAATGAAAAATCCGTGGAGATAATGTTCCATTGATAACGACCTCTGTGATAGGCGTTATTATCCATTTCTGGGTACCATTCAAGACGTGCCAATCAGTTGAGCCATCAATGCGACACAAGTTCGAAATGAAGAGCGATGAATCTGACTTCCAATTAATATATAATTAATTATAATACAGAAAAGATTGCTCCCAATTCGGAGCTAGTACTGAGGGTGTAAAGCTTTCGGAGAAAAAGGAGAATCCGAAGTGTTATTTACGCATAGCAAATTTCTTACAGGAAGAAAAGCGCCCGGCGAAGCCGGCAACACTATAAGGAGGGAAGCCCGGCGCTAGCCGGGCGACCCGACTGGTTGATTATATCTCCGTAAAGAGAAGGATCCATTGATGACGACATCTGATAATGGTGTTTTCATTACTCGAAACATTTGTATGTAAAGCCCAANTGAATACCATTTGCGTCGCCCTGTTAGTCCTGTGTCAAAGTTCGTGTACAGGAAACTATTATTTGTTCCAAAACAGGAGTGGAGAGTTAGCCTATTACTACAACGTTGTCAAAGAAGGAGGCAAACCCGGCGTCAGCCGGGCGAACTGATTGGCTATACATAATTCACTGGGTGTGTCTGTCGGTGTGTATGTGTGTGTCGGTGTGTTTGACCGAAAATTCGTGAGTGAGTGGTAAGTGCAGTGATGGGGACCATTAGCGGCACTGCGGTAACCACGTAAGAATTTTTTCATTTCTCGCTATTAAATTACCACCGCTACCCAGTAAGGTTTGTGACTCAATGAAGGATTTCCTACGCACGATATCATTTGCGACAAAACTGAGCCGATCACCATATATCTGAAATTTTTAGCTAACGATGTCTCTGTAAAGAAATTTTTAAGGAAGAGAGCAAAGGTCGAGACTTCCAATCAAAGGCACAGTTCACACTGAGAATGATTTCTGAGATTTCCCTATAGTATGATCTGAAGGCTCCCCCTTATACCATACCTGTCGTCACAGGGGCGAAAAACGTTGTGGATAGGGCACAATAAGAAACCAGAGAGTGTATCGTGGTAATGCTACATCCCTGGTTAACGAGTTTCAATGGCTTCGAGAGGCTGCACCATTCATACGAGGACCAATGTAAGAACTCAAACAACTTGTGATGACCCATAGCGACAGTGAAACGCAATTCTGAACCGTTATATTTTGATGTAGTCAGCACTTTGCGCGATGGGAGTAAGTCAAATCGCGCTCAAAAAACTCCTACATGCCATTCCTGTCGCGGTAATCTTCCTCCACTTCCACTATTTTACAAAGCTTGAAGTAGGCGGAATTTCTTACTCTCTTCGCCACCGATGTACTCCTCTACATCAACATTTACGGTTTTCAGTCTAAAAAGGTACCTCAAAATCATGGTGAACTATGCCTTTAAGGGCGTAAGCACCGATTACACTGAATACCACTTGACTGCTATGTTAGTCCCGTGTCGAACTTCGTGTTCAGGAAAATATTATTTGTTCCAAAGAAGGAATAGAGAGTTAGCCGATCACTACAACTTCGTCGGAAAAGGAAAGAAGCCCGGCGAGAGCCTGGCGAACCGACTGGTTTCATCACAAATTACTTGCCAAACTTCATCCTCGGCGCTACGCAGGACTCCTTGGGTGGCGGAAATGTACTTGAGCGGCCGGTCGTCAAAGTGGAGCACACCCTTTCTGACACCACTGGACTAACATAGCAGTGCAAATGATATTCAGGGCAGCACTTTGTGGTGGTGTCCTTCGAGGGAGCGTGCCATAAGCATAACCTTTTCTGATTTAAAGAGTGAACTTACTCTCTAGTGTCGAATCACCACTTGAGGTAAAAAAGTAAGATGTACACGCATGACATAAAGCCTTACGCCGCGTGCGATGGACGCCTTGAGAAGGGAGTTTAGGCGGCACCACAGCTTTCTATTGTCAGAATGGTATATTGGACTGCTGCATGTGGGCTTCCAATAAATAACTAAAAGCACACTCTTTCATTTAAATCATTTAGGTGGTGCAGTACAGGCTGAATTCAGGATAACTAGCAATATTTCCGATAGCTGGTAAAAGTTCGAATCACTTCCACCAAACTGGTTAACTCAGGCAGGATGTCATGGCAGGATGGCGGGATCGTAGTTACTCGGTAATGGGAACTGATATCAGCTGATCACGGCTGCTAATGAATTGTAGAAAGCGGCAGGATGTGCTTTTTGTGTTAACAATAGAATCATGGCGCCGTGTCGTGTCGATAATGACGATGCTAGGACTGATGACAACCTCCAAGGGTAAGGAGAAAGCCGCCAGTTACTTCGATAGTGAAGCCTCGACATTTGGCCTGTGACGTAGAGAGTGGTGGGATGGTAGATGACTGTTGAAAGGAAAAGAACACGGAGAGTGCTATGTATAATACCTAGTGGCTCTTGCCTTCTGTCTCGTTATAAGACCCTATAAGTTGTTAGCAGCCCTTTTCACCAATCATCTACGGTTCTTTCACATCCAGTACCATTCACTAAAGTGCCAAGGCTTCACCGTTAATACGAAGTGAGTGAAGGATCCTGTGGCTTTTGCCTTCCGTGGCTCTTTACCAGTTTTTATAGATCAACGATACCCCCATTAGCTACCATCAATGTTCCCATCCTACTACTTGTGCCCCTTCCAAATTTGACACCCTAGTTCACGGAGCAGGAACTATGAATTTCGCGTAACACACAAGCACACACAAACACACACCAACGCACATACAAATCAACAGACACACCTATCGGATTATACAGTGTGCACCATGACATTGCAACAAAGTAGTTGTGGTAAAGAAACCGCAGTTCAGATCAGTACAAGGCAAACTTATGTAAAAAAGTTTTCCAAGCATTTCACGAACAAAATGAACATACAATCATTCAATATGGCTTCCTCCTTTGCGTATTATGGCTCGTAGACGCTTCGGGCACGCGTCCGTGGCGGCACGCAGAGCCTTTTGAGGAATTCTATCAAAGGCTTCCTCCATTGATTCTCTGAGAACAGCATCTGTGGCATGTTTCGAAAAGCAGACTTCCCACTCTCGAATAGGCAATACGCAAAAGTCCATCGGATTACAGTCGGGGGAATTGAGGGCACTGTTCACGAAAAAATGGTTTCGGAGATTTGCACATGCTTTGAATTCGAAGCCCCCTCTGATACCATTTGTGCAGGAATTAGGTCGGAAAACGGCTGGATAGGGCACAATAAGGCCAGGAACATTGGGGGACGGAATGCCTCCGCCCCTCGCTTGGTTGACTACGAGTTCAAGTTGTCCTTCACCACATTCACACTGGAGCGAAGTTGGTGAAAAATCGATACGTAGATTGGCAAATTGCCAGGAATGATCAGCTGGTCGACCGCCTCGTACAGGAGCTATTATTCGGCTGTTATTTCTATTATTCGCGTATCGTTTGTTTTTTTTTTGTTATTAATTTTTTACGTTAGCATTCTTTAACTATTCTCGTAAGTTTATTGAAGATTTTAACATATTTTGTGTTGATTATTGCATGCAAATGTTTTTTTTATTTCAGAAACTCCGTTAATTTCGATGTGTTGTCTGTATTGCAGACATTGCGTCACCTTCGTGCATTCTCGCTCGAACACTCCCTAACCGCAGTTTTTTCAATGTGAAATTCGTCCAACCTCCCTTTCCAGCTCTTTTTTTGACCCTTTGTAATTCTTTTTGTTCATCGTTTTTTGCGCTTTTTTGGTTGTTATCGCTTTATTCTAGAGTAGTTCTATCAATTGCCGTCAAAAAAGAGTACCCTAACTTTTTTGTGAATAGTGCTTTTAACAGGCTAATCGGGAACAGCAATGAAGTCCGGAACGTTTCCACGGCACCAGTCTTGATTCTTATCTCCCTATAAATGATAACGCAAGCACAGCAAAGCAGATATGATAGTTAAGGTATATCGCATGTTTAATTGAAAGAACGGCTTATGAAAAAGCAAAAAAGGAAAAGGTTACGTTTTTGCGCAGTTGTTACCCTACATATTGCATTCATGGCGCACCGAGTAGATGTAGGATGCTTTCTTTTTCAGGACGTACGCTGTATACACTTATCGCTTATCTCAGGCAGGATTGACCTAGAAGACCACAACTAAGGAATGCAACTGAGTTGTAAAGAAACATTCGAATCAAAAGATATCAGTGGCCAGTACATCAAAGGGCTCGGTACGGCAAAAAAGGAACTTTCAGGCAAGATGAACCCCCAGAATCACTTTCAAACGTTTTTTCACAAAAGATACTCCATTGATCGAATATGGTAAAGAGATCTAGTTATGTAGCTAGCCACTTGCAATCGCGAAAGGGTTTTCGACAAAGAATTTTGCGATTGATCGAGCTCCTATTAACTTTCTGTTCTTTTTCATAGATACATCCAAGAAGGCTTTCCACATCTATTTCGATGGTCTCTTTTGCGAAGTTTTTCTTTACTATGGGTGATCCTCGCATTTCTCTATCTTTTGAACAACGGACAAAGAGATGTCGTGACATCATTTAGTGTGCCTTTTCGGTCTGCACAATCGTTTTGCTTAGAAAAATCAACAATTTTAAGATGCATGTGGAAGTACATCCACTCTTTGAGGAGTGTTTNAACTTAATGAAGCAATAAGATGATACTCAGATGGGATCCTCATTGCTGGATGCAGCAAAGTTGCCCCAAAAAATGACGACCAAAAGCACGAGATAGGAGACCGACGCCATCGACGCTTGTCACTTAGGGACAGGGTATTGTGCAGGGAAATTTTATCGGTGAAGGCCAACAAAACCTTCACCAAGGGTTGGTGAATTGGTTCCAGTCTCTTCTGGCGGATAAAAGCACTGACTTGTTCATCGTCTGATCACCGCAATTGTCATTGTATAGATCACATACGCACTCATTACGCCACTACTATTCTGAATGAAGTCGAGCGTGGGAGCGCATACCTCAGATTAACGCCACAAAGTTCATTCTATATGATTCGTCAAGGGCTTTGTAGTGAGAGTACACAGGTTTACGTTTGTTTCACTTTTATACGAGTTACATATATGAAAGCCAGTGGTGCACAGTATTTGGTCTGGGAAGGCTGAGAAAACTTCCTCGTTGGCACAACAGAACGTTCTGAATGATTAGTTCGAAAAGACGTTTTTATTAGGTATCTCTGTTTTCTGTTTTTCTCAAATCCTGATCCTTCAAGGGCCGCCGACCGATCATTCCGTAACTGCAGCTCAGAAAACACTCTCCTCAGAAAACACAGATAGGAATTGCAGATACTTTTTCATACAGCGACAGTTGCATTATGTGGTACAGTCGAATACGTCAAAACCAACTCAAAACCATCACGAGAAGCACTTGGTAGACTAGAGACAGGGTCGATATTTCCTCAGCCTTCGGAGACCAAAAGTTGTGTGTCATTGGCTATTATTATGCACAGTACTCGCCGTAAGAACTCAAAAATTCACGAGAATACGCAAATTCGCGTCTTTTTCGTCTTTTCTTATAAATCGCTTCAAAATAAAGTAATCAAGGAGACAAAAGCACCGATGAACTCAACTCATCAAGCTCAAGTTGGTACCCTAAAATGTTGAAAATGCTTTGATTTGGATTGCGCCATGCACTTGAGCTCCATCCGAAAAGTGATTGCATGCACATGGAGTGCACGATTGAGTGCTTGTAGGGGCTCATTGGTCCCTGAGGATAATCTGTTGAGAATCTGCTTTAAATTGCGCCACGTACTCGACTTTACTCAGTACAATGTGAAAATGATTGGTGATTTTGTTTAGTCTCCATCGTTCCTTCTTTGCTTTGGAGGCTGTCGATAAGCGTACCTACGTTCTCTGCACTCAACACTCCACTTTACAGGTTTCATTGAGATATGACACCAAAATAACTCAGTCGATTTTTTTGGCATTTTCCCGTTTTTGGAGGAATTTTCTACGGAATCTGAAGAGATGGTGTTGAGGCACTCGACTATCATAGACATCTCTTTGTTGTCTGCAAGTCCGTGATGGCACACCCTATCATAGATCAAAATTTCTCCTTTGGTATGGCCCCGAACTTCGAGCTTCGTCAAGCCCAATTCTTGAAAACGATGTTTTTTCCCTTTCCGTTGGCCTTTTTGTAATTGAGTTATACACTGTTGGATTCCCCGCGAAAAAAGCTATCGAACGATATATAGGTTAACCCGTGACGAAAACCTCCCTCCACAACCACTTTCTGCAGTAGGCCTGTCTCTGGTCGATTTCCTATAGGGCGTGTTTGGATACTGTAGTGGCGGGAACGTGGAGCAGTTTGAATGGAAGTTTTGAGACGTTTTGAAGGAACGGTTTCCATCGTTCATTTATAATGTGGAGGCTGTAGATAAGTGCATCTTCATTGTCTGCACTCAACACTTCTCCTTACAGGTTCCATTGAGAATATGACATCAATTTACGGCAAAATAAGGAGTCGATTTCTTTTGGCATTTTTCAATTTTTGGAAGAATTTTTCTCTGGAACATGAGGAGGTGACAGAGAGGCAATCCATTGTTGTACACTAAACTTTGTGGTCTGCGAACCTATTATGGTACACCTTATCAATGATTAACAGTTCTCTCTAGGTAAAGCTCCAAACTTCGCTTGCCGTCACGCCTGAATTGCAAAATTATGCTTTTTGCCCTTGCCGCTCAACTTTTTGCAATTGAATTGCATACTTTTAGATTCTCCGTGAAAAGTTCTATCTAATGATATATGGGTCTACGCGTGATGAAAACCTTCTTTCGGAGTCATTTTCTGCCATGCTTCCCTTACGACAGTCAAGTGCTTCAAGAATAGTATGCTCCAATGCTAACGCATCTCAACCAACTGTTCTCTGTCGAAGGTGCTAGTGCTATGTATACTGTTAGATTCTCCGTAGAAAGTGCTTTCTAATGATTGTTTCCCCCCCCCCCCCCCCCCCCANGACGAAGTTCGAAGTTTGGGGCCACACCAAGGGACAAATTTTGATCTATGATAGGGTGTACCATAACAGTCTTGCAGAAAACATAGAGTTGTCTACACAGTGGAATGCCTCGCTGCCGCCTCCTCAGGTTCCGGAGAAAAATTCCTCCAAAATTGAAAAATGCCAAAAAAATCGACTCCTTATTTTGCCGTAAATTGATGTCATATTCTCAATGGAACCTGTAAGGAGAAGTGTTGAGTGCAGAGAACGTAGGTACACTTATCGACAGCCTCCAAAGCAAAAAAGGGACGATGGAGACTAAACAAAACCAACAATCATTTTCACATTGTACTGAGTAAAGTCGAGTACGTGGCGCAATCCAAAGCAAATTCTGAACAGATCATCTTTAGGGACAATGAGCCCCTACAAGCACTAAAGCGTGCACTTCATGTGCATGCAATCACTTTTCGGATGGAGCTCAAGTGCATGGCGCAATCCAAAATGAAGCATTTTCAATATTTCAGGGTACCATCTTGTAGAGCTTGATAAGTTGAGTACAACGGCATTTTTTTCTCCTCGATTACTTTATTTTGGAGCGATTTATAAAGAAAAGACGAAATGGACGCGAGTTCGAGGTATCCTCGTGAATTTTTGTGTTCTCACGGCGAGTACTGTAGCTCTTATAAAAGTGGGGGAAGTTCTCACGGCGAGTACTGTAGCTCTTATAAAAGTGGGGGAAGCTTCAGTTTGTATGCTCTCATTTCAGATTCCCTAACAACTCGCAAACTGCTCTTGCATTACCCTTTATCTTATTAAAACTCCGCAACATCGAGAATCTCCTACCACAAGTTATAGCTTGCAGTACAGTCGCACTTCGCCTCGCAACTCTTCGGTACGGAGGGGAAGATTTCTAGATTTCTGACCGCAAGGCAGAGTTGATCATAAATTGACGGGAGTTACGAGGTGATAGCAACATGCAAAGAAGGTAACCCAAGTGCGCTGGGGCAATAACATTCAGAGGCTTTTTGAAAAAAGGATCGTGATTCAGGATGCATCCGTCTCCCTCTTGTGCTTTTGATCGTCGTATTTGCTGGCAATATCGTCGCCACCATCACCCTTGAGAAGGTTCCCATTATATTCTTCTTTGTCGTTTCCTACTTAGTTCCGTAGCTCCGCTTCCAGAATCTACTTAGTAATTTTTGCGGAGTTCTTAAAGCTCCCATAAAATTCTTTTATTTCTACACGACTTTAACGGAACAGTTTCGCAAGTCAGTGGGGAACTGTCCAGATGAGGAAGTCAGAGGATACTCAAAACGAAATCAAACCGCCTGCTCAAAACCCCAACAAATGCGAAGATCGTCTAGAATGAGGAAAATACTTTATAATATTGCTCGTTGGAACAAAAATTGATTTGCCAGATGCCCCGTACATATATTAAACGGATTCTGCTACCGTTAGGGTATCACCTATGAACAAAGGAAGACTCACTGCCCTTGTGAATGTAATTTATGCGACGAATGAGAATGTCTGCATTAATAAATGTTTGATCAGAGCTACTTCTACGAAAGTTAGACAAGTTTCACCTAAAATTCGATGCGAATTTCGTTCTACATCCGATCATAAATTGTCGACTTACGATTCATCAACTAACCCAAAATCATTCTCATTTCTCCCTTTTCACCTCCCTCGAATGTGATGGGAATTTTTCTTTAGATGTTAGAACTCGACATTTTTATCCAGAAAATTATAGAAATCTACGAGACAGATAACGAATTTCACTTTCCAAGGGATCACACGGCGGTTAGGCATCTTGAGCCTTCGCAACTGTATAATTTCGCGCTTTTGAGCAGAATGCAGAATCTTATTAAGAAAACACAGGAACCATTCATATTGCCTGTGGTTTCGACAGTCATAAACAATAGTGGTTATGAATAGTAACTTAAACTTCGATTTGTTGAGGCTAAATAGTCATCCGAAGTGCTGATTCAGTAGTGTAAAGCAGCGGGAGAGGTAACACAATGGCAATTCCGGAAATTTGAACGATTACCGTGAAAGCTCTGATCCAGGGTTAGATTATACACAGAGATATATTTCAAACGACCATAAAGGGTATAAAGAAATAGACCAATATCTGCGTAAGTTAATTCGCAAATGTATCGTGTATTAACCAAGCTTTCAAGTCAGGATCTAGCCCAAATCATTATGTTACAAAACTTATTTTCGACTTCGAAAAGCACCTGGTATGCATGCAGAAGAGATGGTTTTAGGTTGTAGATTGATATTAATAGGTCATAGATGTCAGTATACTGAAATACTCAAACCAGATTATGGTGGCGTCAAATAACCTGATCTTTCGATTTTTTTGGGAAACGATTTATTAGGAGCCCACTAAAAACAATTGACTAATAAATCGTTTTAACTATGAAACGCTGTTCGACTTAATCGTCTGGAAGAACGGCCATTCACTGCAATGGCTTTTTGACATCATCCCGACTTCCAGACACTCCAGACATTCCAGACATTTTCATCTCATCAACACTTCCACTTTTACTTGTTGAGGGCTTGCTCGGACCTTTGGTTTTAGTGACACTTTTGGACTTTTTCTTTTCTTTATCCTTCTTCTTTTTTCGTCCATGTTTTGGACGGTGTTTTCCCTGAAGTCCGCTCAATATAAAGGGATATTCAGAATAAATTGAAATTGGGAACTTACTCCACTTTTTTTCTCAATCGTTGCCAAAAAATACTTGAACAAATTACCTTTTTAGGCTTGGTCTGATAGATTTTCAAAACGACTAGTACTAGAGCTACCAATATCACTAGATAAAGCATAACAAAACTTGGCGATAGCATAGCTGAAAAGGAACACATGAAGTTAATAACGTAAAAATTATTCTTTAGTATTCCTCAATTTGAGGACATAAAATTTTTAAAGCGTGTTCGCGTTGATCAACTCCGCATCAAGAATGTCCCTCGCGTTTGACTCCCATTCAGATTCATAGGGGCGTTCTGAATGCCTTTGAGGCCCATAGGCATTCACAAGTGCTGGCAGATAAATTACACCTTCCGCCTTCTTGATCGAAATATAGTACATAACTTTCCAGAGAACACTTACATCAAAGGAATTGGCGTAGGTGGTGTATAGGGTGACGTACTATCTCACACGCATGATCACGGGTTCAAATCCCGGATCGCTATCCGCCTATACCAACCAAGCCTTCCATCCCTACGGGGTCGGTCAACTGGTGCTATGCTCGTCTAGGAAAATGAAAATACTGAATTGTACATCGGATACCGCAAGTCATTTATTGACCACAACCCACTCGATACGCCATTCAGAATGGGAATCGAGTGCGGGAACGCATCACTCAGATGGGATTGATTGAAGGCAAAAGACTTCATCCATTATTAAATCAATTCCAAGCTTCAATTTCTGATATTGAGGCAGACAAGAGGAGCTAGTGTGGTGAGGCGTCGGAACTGGATCACAACGCTGTCATAGTGAGAGAGAGAGAGGGGGGGGGGGGAACTTACATGTGTCCGAGCATTGAATTTGCTTTGATTTGATTTGAAGTGGAGTAGATTAGTAGGATCGGCTGACCCCACTAAACTACTGTACTTCAAGTTTGTGTCCCGATAGCAGGCGCCAAAGTCGCTCGAATCCCAACCAATGGACGCACGCATCCACGGACGCACCTATGTACCCATACCCATCATATTGTCACATTAGATACTCGAGTGTCCATCTCACTTCCCAAGGTAATACCATTGTACTTCAAACAGCTGAGTCCATCTGCCGCGCCTAGAGCCATTTTTTCCAAGGGAAGTAGGCGCCGAACCGCTGAACTGTCTTCGGTCTGGCACACTGTAAAGATGTGCTCCCCCCCTCCCCCTGGTGCGCATGTTGTAAGAGATACAGTAACGAGAGTGAAGTACAGGCACTTGACTTGTATAGTGATCCGTCTATGGGTCTAGCTCAAACTGACGATCGTGATTAACTGTAGTCATCTGGCCATGCCGCCCATCCTGATCCTGTCCTTGCCTAGAGTAACTTTTCAATGTTTAGTGTGTGTAACAGGCTATGAATTCATGCATTTCAAGTGAGTTACATCATGAAAGGAAATACGTTGTCTGTGAAATTCTGTGTCAATTAACTTCCATTTCGGGCCACTGTAGAAACCGGGTGCCTGATCTGAACTTTCGTTCATACTGACATAGAATTCTCAACTACTAAAGCTACGAAAGTAATCTACGATCTCCCAAAACGTTTGCATTTGGCTAAACAAATCGTACGCTATTTGTTGTAATCGTCAGTTTCGAGCTCACCACTCATGTTTTCAACTTTACGCCAGAGTTTGTTACATTAATGATGAAACGTTATGGCTTTGCAGTGGCGATGAAGGTGATCTTGAGAAGCTTGATATTACGAACTTACAATAGCACATTTCTTCACTCCTCCCATTGACGGTTCCCCCATTTACGAGTGTTATATTTATGGTATAAATGTAACAACTGGTGTCGAACTTGAATCCAGGTGAAAGCTGAAAGCAGGATTTAAACCAATAATGGATGAGCCGACTTCGAGCCATTCATTCGGGTTCTATGCTCATCGTTTCCATTGTTGAACGAGCATATTGACTATCAAATCGGCCCAACTTTTTAGGATTTTCTCGGCGCTTGCATGTGATCTAGCAGGATCCAATTCATGAGCAGGAGCAGCTATACAATTGTGATATGTTCACGGTAACTCTTTGCAAATTCTGCGTTCCATTGTCCTGCACATCACGGCAAATTTCTCNTCGTCTGCTCCAAAGGACGACCAAAATTATGGCAAGGCATATACTCTTTGAGTGAACAAAGACGCCTACAGTTATCAGTACTAAGTGATTCAGGGAACATGAAGCACTAACCTGGTTTATCATCGGTATAGTTTTCATTAGAACCCTGTACAATTTATCGATGATTCGTAAAATGGATATGAATTTTGTAGGCTACAGATATTATGCTTTTGTTTTAAGTTGTACTGGTATTTTTTTAGAACTCCTCAGATAATCTCATACAGGCATCTCATCCCTAGGTCCTGCTGCACATTATCACATCCACGATCGCCCTTGCGCTCAATGGTATTTACATACTATTCCCTTTTGAAATTGGCGACAGCATCATCTCTGCTTTTATTTAGACCTTCCACACCTTAACGCCACCCAAAGTTGTATTATTTTTCGAAATAAAAAATGCCAACAAGAGCTGAATGCATTGAATCCGCTTAAGACGGAAAACAGTGCATACCCCTACATTGATCCGTCCTGCAAGGTTTTCTGACACAACTTCGCCACCAGTCCACGTTCCATCTTTGTCCTAAGAAAAGTAACAGATAATAATATGTAATAGTAGTAGATACACAGAGAGGTTCTACTCTTACCTGCTTGAATCGCCGAATTAATACACTCTTTACATAGTCAGTTCTCAATCGCGATCCGTTTCGCGATTGTAGAGTCCAAGTGACTATCAAATTCAACCATCCAGCGGCTTCGATTCTGGCTGTCTTTAACAGAAAAAGAGATAAAGGCTTCTCAACAACTACTATGTGCCGAAGGATAAAGTTTCGTGGTTCTGATGCTGCATTTATCTTCATTCAGTGCTTAGTGTCGCTTATATGTATGGAGAAGAATTTGAAGAACAAAACGGGACAAGCACCACGCGTAAGCGGTTGCGTCGCGATAAATGCGACATCGACTTTTCCAGTTCGAATCATGATTTTTCTCAAAATGTTTTACCTTCTTACTGTTGCCATTCTCTCAAACTTTTATTTTTTACTTGCTCGATAACGACGTACAGACAGCACAAAATATAGCCTTTACTTAATTAGGATCGTCTTGCGTGCGAAATGTCATCGACTGTGCAGAAGTTGACATACTTTTAGACCAGCCTTCAACACTTCAGTAGTCATTTACTAGGGGAGATTAACTCTTCTTACCAGGGAGGGGCAGTCTACTTATCTTGAAACTTTCAATTCAGACCCAGATAAATTGAGAGTTTTGAATGCTGTTTACGAAAATGGAAATTAAAACTGCAAAATGATTCTCCTCAAAAAGTT